TAAAAAGAGGCGTAAACCGTTATAAAATACATTCTTCGAGTATTATCGATTCTGTAGATTAATATATATATCATATATCATACCGCTTACCTACGCGTCCGAACGAATAAAATCATAAAAATGTTGTAATAATCATTTTTTGTTTGCTTTTCTTTTTCGCCATTTTTAATAGTACAGTTATTGGAAGCATTTTAATAGTTTTTTTATACTTAGTGTTTACGATCGGGGCCCGGGATTCTCGGTGAAGGGATCTCTCTTTGTTCGTCTCGGATTTTTGTTCCAATCGTGTATCTGAGTGTTCGTATATGTGTGGATGGGTGGGTGTGTGCGTGTGTGTGTGGGTGCATGTGTGTCTGTATGTTCATGGTTCTTTTTTTTCTTCGTTTTTATTTCTTTGTTCGCGGCTCGTGTCTGTTTCAATTGTTTATTGCGAGGTTCTCGATGCCATTCACGCGGAACAGTTCGGAAAAAGTACCAGAGGCCGTGGTCGCTTTTCTCTAACGGATAAATAAATGGGGCACGGATAACGCCGATACCGGTATCGTTACTCTCACGGAATGTCTAAGGCATACTTTTGTTTTAGGACGCGTCACACTTTTCCACTCTCTCTTTTTCTCTCTCTTTCTCTCTCTCTATCTCTCTTTCTCTCGCTTTTTCGCTCTAGAACTCCAGCTTTTTTATCCTGACTGCCTTCGCGCACGATGATACGTGGAGATTCGGGATTCTCGTACATTTAGAATCCAATTATTTGAACTTTACACAATGAAAAAAGAGAGTGTTCAGACGATCTCCATATGTATTGTGCAGAAAAGTGCATAGACTTAACGCGTTAGGACAGTGAAGTCAAGTATTTCAATTTCAAGTTACAATTTCGAATGTTATGAAAATGTTTTTATGAGCAATTTTTAGATAAACTTCTTTATTCGAGTATGTTTTATAATAGAAATCGTACCAAGTTTAAATAAATCCTCCCGTTGTTAAGAACTCGGTAATTCTATTGTTAAAAGCAAATTATTTTCATGTTGACATCATATTTTCATATGTTAACGTCAAATTATTTTCAATTTTGTACATAATAGTTAATAGTATGCACTTCTTTTCATCAGATTTAGAAAAGTGTGCTTTTGTTGATCGTCTAAGCGCTCCAATTTAATTCTTAAATTAATATACATGCACTCCATTACGATTAAAAACGTACCACACATAAAAGATTCCGATATTTATTTTGTATATTTAATAAGTTCTTCCCACTGTGGAGATGAATTCGTGGCCCTCAAGCTTAATTGGAACTTTATTTTGAGACGTTCACAAGCAACGTCGTATATTTGTGATTTTGGAAAAATATTTTCATACTTTATAAAAGGACATTTTATTAATGAGTATGCACGCTGCATTATGACTGAACTGCGGATCTTCATGGGGTTGAAACAAAAATTTACTTCTTCCCTTATAAATGTTGATTGCTTGGAAACACCGCGCACATATTCATACATTTTTTTAATGCTTTCACTGTTTCATGGTTCATACATTCGTCTCCAAAATAAATGCGTAAGATCCGCAGTCTAATTATGACTATCGCCAATTAATTAGCAATTAATTACAGAAAATGAAGGAATTATTTACTGAGTTAAGAAGATGAACAGTTTTCGAGATGATGGCGAACACAAATGACAAGTTAACTCGTCATCCATGGTTAAAATGTTCAGAAAATTCTTCCCCCCCTGTGGATTACCCTAGATCAGATCTAGATCGTTGAGATTATCATACGTTTCGTCCGCTATAATGTTATTTGGTCGTACTTAAAACACTCGAAAAGGTAGAAAACTGTATTAATTTCGTTGCATCAAAACCTCCATTTTGTTTCCGAGATGGGACTCGCCTTATAAAATGGAGTATACGTGTAGAAAGTGATTGGGATTATTTTCGAGACTAGAATGTATTTTAACTACATCACGAGAGGGCCATGAATTAATTTGTACATCCACTAGGAATTAATCTCAAATTTCTTAAATAAATTATGTTCGTGAAAAGAATCGATGATTTTACATTTCGAACGTTGCACGCCGATGTCTAGTCTATGAAACATAATTCATAAATCTCCTATGTTGATCCCAAACAATTATACAAAAGCTTTTATTTGTAGAATCATTAAATCAGACCTCCTTTTTCCTCAACAAAATAAAAAATTGCACAAAAATTGCAAAGGAAGTATCTCTCCCCATTTTGAACTTCACACATCGCTTTAAATGCGATGATTGTTAATTATTCTTCTGTACAAATATATTTTCATTTATTGAATAATAAATTTCCCCAACGAACTAAAAATTGCACTAAAATATAAACTCCATAAATACCACTTCATCTCTACGAAACATTTACTCCCTAAAATTATAAACAAATTTTCACCTATGCAAAAATAAAGACATGATTTTTTCCCAACAAAATACAAATTATACAATTCGTGCCTAAAAATAACTACTAAATTGTGTAATTTAATAAAATATACAAAAATACTAATCTAAAATAATCTACAATTGCTAACTCAGAAAATCTCGAACTGGGGATTTGTGATTGTAATTGGTAAATTTATTATAACATAATGATCTGGAATCTCTCACGTATCACGTGCTACACTGCGCGAACACCGACGACACATTGACTCGGAACTCGAAGTAAGTACACGATGATTGAAAGATACTCGTATGGCATCGATTACCGACAAGTAAGGCCCAGAGAAACATTTACGACGCTACGTGTAATCATGGTTCGATCGGATCTCGATCAGATCGAGCGAGGAACCGCCGCTCGATCGTGCGAAACACACACGAGCGAGCATTATCTTAGGAGATTCTATTTAGTTTCAGTTTCCTTTCTCGTTCTCAGTGGTTTCTCGGAATTCACATCTAAGCTCTCTGTTCAGCGGGTTTCAAAAACTCAAACGCATTCTCCATTCGGTGCTTCGATCATCTCACGTGAATCCTTATCTAATTGCACGCGTGCTCTCGTACCGACCTTGTCTTCCACGAAACTAATTGATCTCTGTTTAAATTCAATCGCAAAAAATTTAGAAAGTGATCCTTTTCATTATTGAGCTAAGTAAATGACTCTATTGTGGATTGAAATGCAAATTTAAAATGCATCAAGTGTATTTCTTTAAGAATAGACTGCAGATTCTATGCATTAAGACAAGAACGAATACGTGAAATGCATAGCTCTCTCTCTCTCTCTCTCTCTCTCTGTGAAGACATTAGAAAAATCTAATATTCTTATGCCATTTCCAGATTATTAAAGTCATTACAAGCAAAAATGTATTCTTATCCAATTTCTGTATCTTACTATATTTATTGTACACCAACATCCATAGTCTATTGCTAGAGAATTTGTAATAAAAATGATATCTGGTCCAATATTCAAATCAAATTAAAACAAACTTTCGTAAAAATTGATTGATATTAAAAAGATTACACGAAACCTGAACAAATGTAGCCTTCCCTTTATAGATCAGTGCAGATCATTTTTAATGCTCAACAGTTGGCCCGATGCAAATAGCAGGCCACAAATGGAGACATTTATCTCAGCTTTGGACTTTGGATTTCTATGAATGATTTTTATTTTAAATCTTTCGATCACTATGAATGATTTTTATTTTGAATCTTTCGATCACTATGAATGATTTTTATTTTGAATCTTTGGATCACTGAAAGAAACATCTACCCTTTTTAATCTTCAGCTCAGCTGCAGCACTAATCAATGAACAAACAGAAATTGCCTGGCTGCAAACAAGCTGAAGAATAAACTACACAAATTCGCATAAATTTTTTTCTCTTCCATCAACTGCAAAAGAAATTTCATTACTGAGACACCTAGAGAGCTTTTAATTAAAGGAATGTCGTCGATTACACACGTGCGACCTCCTCGAAAACGGACCCCCCAGCATCCCTTCGCCATTTTGCTCGTCGCGACTGACTATCGCGTGNATTTATTGAATAATAAATTTCCCCAACGAACTAAAAATTGCACTAAAATATAAACTCCATAAATACCACTTCATCTCTACGAAACATTTACTCCCTAAAATTATAAACAAATTTTCACCTATGCAAAAATAAAGACATGATTTTTTCCCAACAAAATACAAATTATACAATTCGTGCCTAAAAATAACTACTAAATTGTGTAATTTAATAAAATATACAAAAATACTAATCTAAAATAATCTACAATTGCTAACTCAGAAAATCTCGAACTGGGGATTTGTGATTGTAATTGGTAAATTTATTATAACATAATGATCTGGAATCTCTCACGTATCACGTGCTACACTGCGCGAACACCGACGACACATTGACTCGGAACTCGAAGTAAGTACACGATGATTGAAAGATACTCGTATGGCATCGATTACCGACAAGTAAGGCCCAGAGAAACATTTACGACGCTACGTGTAATCATGGTTCGATCGGATCTCGATCAGATCGAGCGAGGAACCGCCGCTCGATCGTGCGAAACACACACGAGCGAGCATTATCTTAGGAGATTCTATTTAGTTTCAGTTTCCTTTCTCGTTCTCAGTGGTTTCTCGGAATTCACATCTAAGCTCTCTGTTCAGCGGGTTTCAAAAACTCAAACGCATTCTCCATTCGGTGCTTCGATCATCTCACGTGAATCCTTATCTAATTGCACGCGTGCTCTCGTACCGACCTTGTCTTCCACGAAACTAATTGATCTCTGTTTAAATTCAATCGCAAAAAATTTAGAAAGTGATCCTTTTCATTATTGAGCTAAGTAAATGACTCTATTGTGGATTGAAATGCAAATTTAAAATGCATCAAGTGTATTTCTTTAAGAATAGACTGCAGATTCTATGCATTAAGACAAGAACGAATACGTGAAATGCATAGCTCTCTCTCTCTCTCTCTCTCTCTCTGTGAAGACATTAGAAAAATCTAATATTCTTATGCCATTTCCAGATTATTAAAGTCATTACAAGCAAAAATGTATTCTTATCCAATTTCTGTATCTTACTATATTTATTGTACACCAACATCCATAGTCTATTGCTAGAGAATTTGTAATAAAAATGATATCTGGTCCAATATTCAAATCAAATTAAAACAAACTTTCGTAAAAATTGATTGATATTAAAAAGATTACACGAAACCTGAACAAATGTAGCCTTCCCTTTATAGATCAGTGCAGATCATTTTTAATGCTCAACAGTTGGCCCGATGCAAATAGCAGGCCACAAATGGAGACATTTATCTCAGCTTTGGACTTTGGATTTCTATGAATGATTTTTATTTTAAATCTTTCGATCACTATGAATGATTTTTATTTTGAATCTTTCGATCACTATGAATGATTTTTATTTTGAATCTTTGGATCACTGAAAGAAACATCTACCCTTTTTAATCTTCAGCTCAGCTGCAGCACTAATCAATGAACAAACAGAAATTGCCTGGCTGCAAACAAGCTGAAGAATAAACTACACAAATTCGCATAAATTTTTTTCTCTTCCATCAACTGCAAAAGAAATTTCATTACTGAGACACCTAGAGAGCTTTTAATTAAAGGAATGTCGTCGATTACACACGTGCGACCTCCTCGAAAACGGACCCCCCAGCATCCCTTCGCCATTTTGCTCGTCGCGACTGACTATCGCGTGCCCCGTGTTGCGAACGTGGCTAACAAATTTGTACGTTAATTAGTTTCCTTATTATTGTCATGGTATATATAATAATCTTGTTAATAAAAATACTAAAATATTATGTATATTATATATAATATATAATAGATTATTGCATTATGCATTTTTGGTACCGTTGCGTATTGTTTGGTTTTCATACTCGTCGGCCCGAGGTCCATGCGCGGATCCTTCATCTGATTTTCAGTATAACAGCGTTTGTCCTCTGCGAAACAAGGTCAAACATTTCTTTGAAGAATCCTGCAAGACTCACGGGCGATCCCGCGGCTGAAGGACGCCTGAAGAACGCCTCGAGCCGCTATCATCGACCGCCATCTTTGAGGCCATATCGTTATCCGTCCGTGATCCAATATCTCTTTAGCTCTTCGTCTATCTATTAGCTAAATCGACTCTCAGCTGCGTTTCACGCAGTCCACATCTTCGGTATCTCTTAATCACGACTTCTTCATATCAATCCCCCCCACCCCACCCACCCCAATCCCTTATTAATCATGTTCACGCGTGATAAACGCGAGGTATACGTGTGTGCTTTGTTTGTTCGTTTGCTTCTTTCTCTGCTTCGAAATTAAATGCCGAGTTCCGTGTCGGGAACGAAGAGGACCGTACGCATACTTAACTTACAACCCACGAAGAGTCTTCGTCTCGATTACTCGTCTGGCTTCTTCTTCTTCTTCTTCTTCTTCGAGGTCGCGCCCTATTCTCTATACGGTTTGCAGAAAGAGTAACGGTGGTTCATATGCTGGCTGTAGGAGCCGGAGTGAGAGAAGCGCTTTAGGCACTTGGAGCACTGGAAAGGCTTTTCGCCGCTGTGCAGTCGCTTGTGTTCGGTCAGATGGTGCTTGTGCTTGAACGCCCTTGTGCACTCTGCGCATTTGTACGGCCTTTGCCCTGTGGACAGCCCATCTGATTAGATCATCCATCCTCAATCTTACCGATCTAGACCAGTGTGTACTAGAACCAGTTTCTTACCGGAATGTTCGTATTTGTGTCTCGCTAGGGAACTGTGTTTGGAGAATGTCTTGTCGCACCGATCACAAAAGAAGACACCCTGCTCTACCTCAGCTGCTGGCGTCGCCTCCGATTGACTCGCATTTTCGTTCTCGATCTTCACGGTTGCTTGAGGTTGAGTCTGTTCAAAGAAGATAAAGGTCAGACTTCAACTTTACAAATATTTGTTACACCAAACAGCCTTTATTCTACAAGTGCATCCAGACTGTTTGACAGTACTTACCTTCGGAATTGGTTCTCCAACAGGAGGTGGAGCAGCCGTGCGTTTTGCTTCCACGGAGTCGGTGGTCTCTTCGTCTATAACGAGAGGAGAGTCCTCAAGGTCGTCCGCGTCCGGATTAGGTGCCGGAGGGTTTTCGGTCTTCGGCTCGCTAGGTGAGGAAGTCGGGACCTTGACCCAACTGGTGTCATTCTTCTCCTTGTACGCGGACACCGTGAGCGCTTCCTTCTTCGATAGATCCAGAGGTTGCTCGATGACAGTCTGACTGGCTGGATTAGTCAGCGGTACCAAGGCTGGGATTTTCGACTCCCGTCGATCCCTCGCCCGGGAATTTTGAAACCAGACCTGAAATATATTTATTTATTACTGAAATATATTACCAAAAATATAGCTTTCCAAATCGAAATGAAATGAATCAATTCTTAGAACGATGTATCTGTACTCAAACAATTAAGAAATTGATTATTGACCATGTAATTCATAAAGCTAGCACGTCAAATTTAACAGTAATAACAAAAGAATTAAACTTTCTAAATACGGGATATAAAAGAATGCATTCTTTAAAATTATAGTAGTGATGTAGCCGCCAATGAATTTATGTTCAGACAGCTAAGACGAAAGTGGTGCATCAAGGTTACGCGTCTAGTCCAACAACAACTTGGCAGTGGCGACTCGCAAGTTTGAACATGTACCTGCACGACACGAGTGGGGAAGTTGATGTAATTTGCGATCATGATGATCTCCTCCTTCTTAGGCCGAGGATTAATGGCGTAGTAACCCTTCAGGACGGCCAATTGCTCGTCGTCTATCAACGACCTGGCCCTCACCCTTCTACCATTGTCGTTGTGTGTCTGCGTGGCATCCTCCTCGTCCTCGGAGTCCGCTTCCGAGCTGTCTTCGGCTTTCCTCTTGCAGCTCGATTTCGCGCTCGGCTGATTTACGTCCTCGAGCTTCGCCGCTAAACCTTCGCTCTGGGAATCATATTGATCCGTCGCCGACCAGTCCGGATAGTGAGCCATCTCGCTGGACATTTCACTGTCTTGATCCTGCACCATTACGAGACACTTGTTTAGTTCTGGTCGCTTCCAATCGACTGGTTAATGGTAGCCAAAGGGTGTCTACTTAAGCTGAAGGACAAACTCAAGCTGGAGGACATTAATGTAGGGGCTGAAGGTTAACGATTTTGGAGCGACCTTCAAAATCACAACAGCCAATCGGTGCTCATGGACTCGCGTGCGTTAACCCCACGTGACGTATGTGAACGTCGCGATCTAAACATCACGACGCTGCTAGGACGATCGGCGGGTGTTAGGCGCTGGTCGAAAGAAACGATCAAATTTGAAAGAAAACATAACGTTCGGCTAGCGCACCGATAAAAGAACAGGCTCACAGAACGCGATGAACGTCGAGACATGCAATTTACGATCACGCTCACGAATACGATTACGATTACGATTTACGAACACGGTTTACGACTTCAGAGAATTATTATATACTACCTTACAGTCTTTTTGTATTATATTTTGTATGCATTACTGTTTAGTAGTAAATAAAATAGTTTTCAAAACCTACTATCTCTACATCAACATAAGTTAAAAGATGACAGCTTAAGCTGAAGGATGTCAACTTCAGTTAAAAGATGACAACTTAAGCTAAAAAGTATCAACTTAAGGTAAAAAATATTACCATAAAACAAAAGCTATCAACTTAAGATAAAACGTGCCAACTTAAGCTAAATAATGGCAAGTTCAGCAGAAGGATGAGGACCATTTGGTGGAAGATGGTTTACTTGATAATCGTCCTCGAACTCCCGCTTCATAGTGGCCGGTGAAGTCGACAGTTTCCGCACGTTCGCCTCCAGCAGCTGTTTCGTCACAGAGGTGTTCACAGTCTCCAAGATCCGCCGAACCGCATCCAAACCCTGGGAATCGGTTGGTGCTGGGGATTCCTTGCCCTCCGTGCCTTCCGTGCCCTCAGTGCCCTCAGAGTCCGCCGTCGACGGGCTCATGAGTTCTCGATGAGACTCGAATTGCTCGGCTACTTCGTCCAATCTCTTGGAATGTAGCTGATTTAGGATTTTGCCCAGGGACGTTTGGAGGAAGTAGCTGCCAAAGCCCATCATTTGAGGCAGAAGAGTCGGCATGTCGTAGATAGCTGCAATGGAATGTCCTTCCATTAAAACTTTGCCAAACACTAATTACAATCTGGATACTTGAGATTTTCATTGATATTATTGAGGTCACTCAGCAGCATAATCTTAATTCTAAGTGAAGTTTTGCTCAATTGTGATTGTACCAATGTTATTTTAATTTTTTAGCGAATTATACATGCTTTAATTTAGCAAATTTAAGGTATCGAATCAATTTGTACAGTCTTTCAGTGCAGTGGCGATATTATCTATTAAAATAAATGCAGTAAATCCAAGTTTCTACAATACAGAAAGACATTTGTCCAGACAAAGGTCACTAATACATCAATCTTATTTTTATCAAAAGAAATATTTAACTCATTGGAATATCTGTTTCTCTTATTCTAGTTAAAGTGAGATTGGAATACATGGAATTAAATGAAGTGAGATTTTATTTTAAATCTTGAGAGATGTGCTAATATGATTTTCTGTCCAATGCAATAGGTTTAACAGACGGCCATATTATTTAGAAATTTAAAGTTGCTGTTGCCACGGAGAAATGATAAAATATACAAAAAGGTAGCAATTGGAGTAAAAGTATATTATCAGACTGTTCACCTGATCCTTCTCGTTGAATCTCTTGATAATCGGAGGGCGATAGCTTCGGTAGGATGGGGAGGAAAGTGTTATTATTCGCAGCAAGCAGGTCGACCTCGCGCCGTCCCGGAGGGAGAGGCTGTTGCGCTTTTTTCGGGCCCCGATCGACACTCGTCACGTTCGCGTGTCTCGACTTTTTCAGGTTCACGATCAAGCACTTCTTCGACGTCATGTGGCTCGAGTACGAGCCAGAGTGAGAGAAACGTTTGCCGCAATTGTTGCATTGGAATGGCTTTTCACCGCTGTGGATGCGGAGGTGCTCCTGCGCGAACCAACAGAGGAGATCGTGTAGAGGAATTGTATTTACCCCCTTACGGTCGAGTGTTTGTGTGTACGATGGTCCTCACGAATTTGGAAGACTTTGCAATTCATAATTATTCTTATTCAATTTAGAGTCTCCGGAAGAACTTTATGGAAGTAGCGTCGTTTGTTTGTAACACGGAATTGATTTTTGTTTGAATTATGACATAAGATTTTAGGGGTTGAAAGCATCCCTTAAGGAAGACTGAGAATTTTCTTTTTAGGTGGAAAGATGTAATATAAATTAGATTTTTCTAGCTCAATGGAAAGATTTAATACAAATTACGTCTTTCTTGTTTAATGGAAAGATCGAATACCGATTACATTTCTTTTAAAATGTAAAAATTAAATACAAGTTAAGAGGAAAATTAAATACAAGTTACGTTGTTTTTTTTTTAATGGGAAGATCAAATGCAAATTATATCTCCTTTCTTGAACAAAATGATCCAATAAAAATTGCGTTCTCCTTTGCTGATGATATTTGTTTATAAATGCTTTGCAGTTCTTCCAAACTTGTGAAAACCAGTGCATGTGAAGATAACTAATGTCTAAGAACTAAAAAACGGACAGCTCATTCGATGCAAGTGTATCAATCGATGCATACCGTTACGTAGATTGTTGCACATAAAGCTTCAAAGTTGCTAAACATTTAAAACAAAAGATAAAACAATTTTCATTCAAACTTGCACGATTTCTATGTTTTTTTTTGTTTCTTCAACAGTACAGTAACCGTAGTACGGTTTAAATAAAATCAAATTTTCGTCGAAGAAGTTTATCGAACCGTTCGTGTGCAAGGAATGAATTTCGATTGAATAACTTCATGTGCAACAATGAAAACGGGTGTATGTTCGTATATTCGAGAAGCGAAACGGAAGAACGTAAACTCTATCGAAAAGAAAAATCGTTCACAAGGACAAACTATAATGTGTAATCGATTCAGGCGGTGCTGCGTGAGAGATAGACAGAGAGAAAGAGAAATAGAGACCGTGAAAGAGAAATCAACGAAACGATGTACGAATGAGAAATGAAAAATAAGGGTGCACTCGTAGTACCTTGAGGTGATGCTTAAACTTGAAGGCTTTCTCGCAATTGGGACACTTAAACTTACGAAGCACGGCACTCTCATCATGGCTGATCATGTGCCTGTGGAGTCGGTAGACGTTTGCAAAGGTCTTGCTGCACACCTTGCAGGACTGAAACAATAAATCCATTGTGTCTTTAGCTGCTCGTTCCATTGGTCATATTCCTGGGAGATCTTCCTAATTTGATGTTCTCGCTGCAAAAGTTTTGGGAATTTTTTGAAGGGCAACTGAATATATTAATTCGAAGCTCTGTACGATTGTTATTTTTTTTTATTATTCTTTTTTTCTTTTCTTCATTTACTTCGAAATTACAGTGGTAGAAGTGACTAATTCTAATTGTCGTAATCGTCGAGCACAGGAAGTGCTAAATGTCTCTCAGTCTGCATGAGTACATGTATACATTTAAAAGATATGTACGTAATTTACGAATACCTTTGTAGCCAGTGAAATGATGACTTAAACTACACTTAATTTATTATGAAATTATTACTTTACTAATGTATATTGCTTTACAACAATGGCAAGATTGGATTTACTCGAACTTCGTATGATTATAATTACAATGTATGCTCGAAGAACAAAGTTTATCAACAAATTTCTCACGGGAACATTCCAACAATTGCAATAACTGTAATAGAAACAAATCAGGAAGCAGACTTGGTTAATAAATACTTGATCAATAAATACTTGATCAATAAATACTGGATCTTATGGTTTATAATCAAAGTCGTGCGAAATAGTTAAAATATTAAAAGAATTAGAGACTGTAAATGTATTGTTATCAACTTGTCAAGATCATGAACACCTAAATTCCTAAGTCACAAATCTAAAACATCCTACACCTTCAGAATATTTTAATTAAAGATACTAAAACTAAAAATTAAAATTTATCAAAGCGACCATTTCTTTGACTCTCCTACATACTACAAATATTAATAAATTTGCTCGAATATTTTATGAGCCCGTTTTCACAGTATCGTTTATGTATCATCGACGTGACAGTCAATGTATTCAAGTAGGAAACAATTAACTTCAATAAGTTTACTGTTACTTGCTATTGACGGAGATCAGTTTTATCTTAGCGAATAAAGAAGATATTTTATTCAAGTCACCAATGCATCCACGTGGCTTACCTCCGGTATAGCTGTAGACAGTATAAAGTAGCAAAAGGTGACTGAGTTTGCAATTGATATACTATTACGAATATATTTAATATACTATTACGAATATATTTAATATATTATTAATAATATATTAATAATATGTTATTAATACCTCACGCTGTTTTTAGATTCGCCAATACTTTTTAAAAATGTTGATAGATTGTTAATAGCTAAGATTCAAAAGATATTACTAGACCATCAATATCCTATATGGGTTCAAGGTATAACCCAAGCTTTCCAGGTATTGCTAAACTATCAATGCCCTAAGATTTGAAGGTATTGCTAAACCATCAATATCGTAAGGTTTCACACTATTGCTAGACTATTAATAGACTAATACCAATATAATGCTACACCCTATAAGGTTTCAAAGTATTGCTAAATTATCAATTACGATTTCAAGGTATTCCAAGATTATCAATAACCTAAGGTCTCGAGATATTGTAAAACTATCAATATCCTACGATTTGAAGGTATTGTTAAACTATCAATACCCTATGATATGAAGGTATTGCTAAACTATCAATACCCTACGATTTGAAGGTATTGCTAAACTATGAATAATCGTAATATTTCACACTATTATTAGGCTATTAATAGCCTCGGGTTTCAAAGTAATGCTAGATCATCAATATCCTATAAGATTTCAAGATATTGCTGAACTGATAATATCCTAGGACCATAAAAAAAATCTCAATGTATTTCTAGCCTACCACTAACCAAAGGTTTCAAGCTCTTTCTACACTTTTAATTTCAAAGGTTTTAATGCATTTCTAGACTATAAACACCCAAAGGTATCAAGAGATTTCTACACTAAATGCCTCAGGATCCCAATGTATCAACTTACAAAATCCCATTCCACCCAGAGATCAACAATCCATATACATACTTCCAAGGCAAGAGAACACCATAAAAATCTCCAAAACCCAAATACACTAACCCCATCCTTGAACCACCCTATTACCAATTTCTCCTTATCAAATGGTGAACCACCTCTGGAACAACTATCTAGAAGAACCCAAGCAGGAGAAACCGAATAAAAATCGGAGGAAGGTAAATATACGGTGGGGTGAGAAGGCTTCGGTGAGGTCGCGCATGATCGATAATACACCGGGGGAACAATGGAGTCCTCTCGTCCTTGACGTTAGTTTCACTCACCACTTGGGGGAACTGAGCGTTGAGATCGTTCTTGTCGATGGCGTAGGTGGTCTTGTGCGTGCCCTCGAGATGGAGCTGAAGAACGTGGACGTCCCGACAGAGGATGCCACACTGGGGACACCTCTCGCCACCCTGTTTCGTCGATCCACCCTCGCCGCCGCTCCCGCGTCCACCGGCTCCCGTTCCCACACCACCGCCACCACCACCGCCGACGCCACTACCACTGACAGCCTCGCTACCTGGCCCGCTACCACCTCCAGCGGCACTTCCTGTGGTTGGCGCCCCGGCCGCGCAACCTCCGCCCACCTCCGCGTTCACGACACCTGCTGCCTCGTCCTCGCTGCAACCTGAAACACGGGCCACACGTGCATCATTATTTGTCGCCTCTGTCTACCTTTTTTTACCCTCGTCCATCCTCCCGTCCCTCCCCGCCGCGCCGCCTCTTCGCCAACGTCCCCTCTGCCCTGCCCTGCCCTCCGCAGTCCTCCAGTAATAACAGACCGCGGTCTGTGTCCGCGGGTCTGCATGCACACCCGCGTTCCGCTGATTTTATGGGGGACAGGGGATGATGGAGGAGCGCGATCGATGCCGCTTGTTCCACGGGGGTGTCCGATCATTTTTGAAATGGTGGCTTTGTTCCGAGTTCTGTGACTTCGCGGTGACGTTTGCGATTTTTCGAGGGTCATCGATGGGGTTCGCGTTGTTTATGCATTTTGATCGTTTTATGGGGTAATTTTTAATCATCGGATTTATAACATTTCGTTGGATTTTATAATTGGATTTCAAGCTGCAGAGAGTTTGAAATAACCTAAGAGTATCAAAAAAAATTGTTATATCACGTTGTAAAATAATTTTTACCGTATTAAAGTTCATATTTTAAAAGATTGCTAGAGGTGTTACCGTTGTATCGGTCACAAAACAACTATCTTGGATTTGAAGTAAAAATGGCTTCGACTGTAGAGGTTTGAAATTGTTAAAGTAAGAAATATTTATTGACTTCCAGTATGCTTTTATTCTGCATGAAGATCAACAGTTTAGCGACGAATGTTTCGAGCAGTGTCTGCTGAATATTATTAGTCAATGTCAATCACTTCCTTGAAATCCGAATGAAATTGAAAATTGGTAATTATTACGGATTTCTGTGGAACATAAAAATTGTCTGCATCGTTAACAAGAGACGGACGTCGAATAAAAGTATCGTTCTCCACATAATGATCTTAATATAGGTACTCTCAACTAGTATACTTTTTTTATTTTGTCTACGTGATACATCAAGTTTCATCCAATAATTACTGCCATAAATGCTTCAAATTCTCAGTCTAGTAAATTACACAGTGAAAGCCGGATAATGTTCGGATAATTAATTGCAGTATCGGGTTTCTGCTTTATTGATTTTTACAGTAAATCGGTTTGCATATGGTTTACCTTAGACCGAGCTAATTAAACGTGGAACGTGTGTGAACAGTAAAGCATTTTGATATTGGAGTATCGGATCATCGAGGTTCTGCTATACACATGTATTCGCATCGGAAGAATTTTTCATTCAATGTTTTTCAAGCTGTTTACTTCACGAAGAAGAGGCCCGGCTCTTCTCAACTGTATATTTACGAAAGTCCACTGAACGACGTATAGATCGTGTAGACTGTAGTGGTTCTGTCTTCGATTGGGTTCATGTTCGTTCACGAAGATATTCGCGTCCCACGTTTCGCGTTGATCGGATCTTAAAGCGGCTTACGAGCAACTTCTACCTCGACTTCGTCCTCGAAAATTTACTTTGTCCTTCTAAGACCTCGCGTTCTTCTACCGAAACTTCGAATTCCGAAGCTTTGGTAATTTTCTTCGTTGATTTTTCGATCTCTGAACGAACTACAGCGGCGGCCAAAAGTATCCGTACATTTGGTACATTTAATAAAAGCAGTGATGTTTTTAATAATATTACATCGTATATGTGTCGTTACATCTTTCACATAAAGATAAACAACAACGAATGTATGCAAACAAAACTTAACAACATCGCTTTGTAATTTGTAATAAAATAAAATGTATAGGATCCTCGATGAGACATATTGATTATTTGTTTATAACTCCTTCCAATTGTTTAAACAAGTTAAGAGAAGTAATGTTTGTTGGAAGACCTTTTATTTATTTTGCACAGTTTGCAAATTATGGCAATGAAATAAACAGTAGCCGCATATTTGGGGGTTAATTTCCACCCCAAAATAAATTCAAGCGAATTTACGCGAGGAAAAAATTGCGCGATACATATATACATATCTACATATGCTCTACATATTCTCAAAGTTTCAAACTTTCTGAATTTTTTGAAAACTTGAAACAACAGCATTAAAATAAATGATTTTATCGCAAGAGCGAGACTCTCGCCAAGGATCAGGAAATGGAACCAAGAATGCAACACAAACACTGGAAGTATGCGCCATGAGTTTGCACATTCCACGAACATTCTCTATAAAATACCCAACAAAGTGGCTTCAGCTGCAGTTTACTTCATCCAGAAGCAAGCGTAACTACTCGATTTAGGTGAATCCTCTTTGTGCGTTTATCCCAGCGCCGATCAACGAAATCTCAGTGTTCGTCGGACGCGATTCGATTCTGGGAACAAGATCGGGAGAGAGAAAGAAACAGCGGGGGAAAGAGATAGCGTGTTCGGCCACGGTAAACGATTCCGCTGAATCTGGTATCGTCGCCTGCGATTCTCTCCGGTGAATTGCATCAGACGAAATTAGTTAACCAATCGGTATCGCGGAACGATTCGGACCAGAGCTCACCTCTGTGAACCGAAACACGCGGCGACCTCGGCCACGCGTAGTCACCTCGTAACGAGCAATCAATACGAAACGGAACAGCTCCTCGAGCTGGAAACCTGTCGCATGGTTAACTGGCCATGTTAACGTTTACACGGATTTTACGCCGACCACCGCCACTGGCGGTCCCAAAATTCCCAGTGTAATTGAATTTCTACTATATCACTGGCAAAAAGTGTTCGAACATCTTCTCAAACGCGATATAATTGTTTTAAAACTGGACGAAACGACTTGAATTTGTTTTAAATGTTAGAGGGACTAGTTTATCGTACAATGACTCAAATACTATTTTTTTAGTTTTGCTGTTATGTACACCAAACTCTGTTTCTACACGGCTTAGAAAAATAAATTCAATTTCCGTTTTATGCGATTTCGATCGATTTAACACGGTTGAAAAAGTTGCTTCATCGAATTTATTGAGGACAATTATTTTCATTAACCGTAATTTCCTAGATATATTTAGGGAAATGCGTATGTACCTTTTGCTTTTATAAAATAAACAATGTACGAATCGTAGAAAATGAGAGTATAATAACAAAATTTTATTTTTTGGTTTCAGAGGAAGAGGATACTCTATCAAGCCCAAGTGACACAAAGAAATACACGTGTTCGGTGAACGTTGGTATCCTTTGGCTAAAAATCTGCACTATTATCTCAGGTTACATGCTGCGGAGATTTATGACTAAGAAAAAAGATATCCGTAGACCTGGATCACACGTGCTGACCGTGTGTCGGCTCCTGAGTCGTCTGAACCCGATGGTCATAAAACAAATTGACCGACCGTGAAGCCTAATCTCTCGCGTTCGGTCTTTTTGGGACCGGACATACCTGTTAACCTCCTGTTGGACGCACTGGCATGTGTCAACCAGTCTCCCATTCACTATCTCATCTAAACATGTATGTTCCTTCATTTGAAATTTATTTGTGTTCCATCGTATTGGTCCCTTTAATGTATGTACAAGATAAGATACATTTTGTTTGATTATGTATATTGCTGAGTGTCCAATTAAAATCACATTCTTTTCGCAATGAAACCCAAGAAATCCTCAGTTTTAGCAATTTCATTACAGAAACAGAAAAACAAAGGTTAAAATTGATCTTATACCCAACTTTAAAATGAAACTTTAATTAATAAAATTGTATGTGCTCGAATGTGTTATGAATAGACTGTGGATTCTCATGCATTTTTGGTACTTGGACATTTTAGAGCACGAGGAAACGTGTATAGAGTCAATTCTCTCTAATTGTCGCTTAGATTGATTCGAGCCTTGTGGCTTGTTTTTATAGTTATCGATTGTCAACAAGTATAAAATCCCCTCTTCCCAAATTGTCCATTTTTGTGCACAATCTGAACATCAATTAGGGAGAATTTACTGTATTAACAAACACTAATGATTTTTCTGCTTTATTTTTACTATAAATTTTTTTTCGTATTTACTAAAAATTTATATTTACTAAAAATATTTTTACTACTTTAAATTTACTATAAAATTATATTGATTTTATTGTATTGATAAAATCGTATTGATTTTATTGCATTGATAAAATTGTATTGAGTTTATTGTACTGATATTATATTGATAAAATCGTATTGATAAAATTATATAGACAAAATTCTATTGATCTTATCATGTTGACAATGAATTCTATGGAACGAAAGTCTGCAATTTTGAAAGTACCATAATTATACCAGTAGTCCTATTCGGGAACATCTTAGTTCAANCCGCAGTAACTTGAATAGCACAAAGGATACAAATTACAGTAATGTCTCCCTAATTGACGCTCAGATTGTCCAAAAAAATGGACAATTTAGGAAGAGGAGATACGATTGTCCGATCCTTGCGGCTCATGTTTATAATTACGAATTGTCAACAACTATAAAAATGAGCTGGAAGGCTCGAATAATCGTATCTCTTCTTCCTAAATTGTCCATTTTTCTGCGCAATCTGTGCGCCAGTTAGAGAAACATTACTGTACGTTCAACATTCTTTCGACAATAAAGTGAAAGTGAGTTTAACTTTGATTTCTTTTCGCGCATAATTAACATTATATTTATCGAATAAGACATATTAAATATTCGTATTCTTTCATTTCGTTTATTTTCGAATAAACGAATTTAATATGTCATATCCGATAAATGGATAGATAAAATATATAGCTATCCGATAGATAGCTAGATAAAACTAATTATTGGTCACTTCCCAGTAACAGGCTTCGCTATAAATTGATACGTTTGTGCGTTGAGTGCGATTAACACTATTTTTTACCGATCTTTTCTATACACCTATAATCGTCACTGTAGGAAAAATTGGAAAAAGTCCATTGAGCAAATGCGATTCAACTTAGAAAGTAACTTTGTACACGAATTTTGATCGCGATGTCTCTTGACGGTTTCCGTGAAAACGGCGCCGAGCAAGACCTGAATCCCTTCGCACAACCACAGACAGCTACGGTTCCACGAAAATTGCAATGCTGCGACACGATTTGTCAATGCCGGCACAGTCCGGTCGACGCGTAAACCGCGAAACTCGCCGCGGCAACGGAGGAAACGCATTCCAAGCAGCGTGCGTGCGGCTCGAATGATCGCCGGCGACTCGGATTAACTTTCCCGCAACGGCGTCGCGTCGTTGTTGCGTCAGGAAAGAAACCGCGGCCCGTTCTCAAGGAGAAAACGAGTCGAGCCTCCCGCGATTACGCGTGCTCGCGACCTCGCGAGCGCACCTACACCTGGCTTGTCTATCAAACACCCATTCGATCGGTCTGACCTTACCTTCGGATTTCTTTCACATTGCCTGCTGCGAGAAAAACGAGCGTGCTTTGCGAAGATCGCTCGTACCGCTTCGATCTTCGATGACTTCCAAAGTGTCCGTTTTAGCAGATGACGAGCATTAAAGCTACCGTGCTAAAATGATCTGAGTCACATGTTTTACAGTTAAAATTCTACCTAATTGACGCTTAGATTGTGCTGAAAAATGGACAATTTGGGAGGAGGAGATTTTTAGTTACCGATTGTCAACAACTATTGAAAGGAGTCGCGAGGCTCGAATAATCGCCTCTTTCCAAATTGTCCATTTTTGTGCACAATCTGAACATCAATTAGGGAGAATTTACTGTATTAACAAACACTAATGATTTTTCTGCTTTATTTTTACTATAAATTTTTTTTCGTATTTACTAAAAATTTATATTTACTAAAAATATTTTTACTACTTTAAATTTACTATAAAATTATATTGATTTTATTGTATTGATAAAATCGTATTGATTTTATTGCATTGATAAAATTGTATTGAGTTTATTGTACTGATATTATATTGATAAAATCGTATTGATAAAATTATATAGACAAAATTCTATTGATCTTATCATGTTGACAATGAATTCTATGGAACGAAAGTCTGCAATTTTGAAAGTACCATAATTATACCAGTAGTCCTATTCGGGAACATCTTAGTTCAAAGGGTTATGAAAAGGTCTGACTCAGGAGAATCTGCTGACCAGAAGATCGGTTTGCAGGCTATACTGCAAGACCGAGAGAGATCTTCAGGGGAAGATCGAGTAAGGAAAATCGATGGAAGGAAATTGAAGTCACGGAGCACACACACAATCTGCTCAGCCGGCTCGTGCACCACGAGGCGAACTTTGCTCGCCGTGTACTCCGATAAACCGTCGAAATGGGTCAGAGCCGTGACCTTTTCTGCCTTCCTACGTGCCGTGGCGAGGATGTATAGCCGTGTCATGGATCTACGTTGGCTTCGACGTTGCCTTTAAACGCCAACATGTTTCCGTGACCGTCGCGCGACGATAATACGTCGTCGCTCGATCACGTTGCGACGAACATTACGAAACTCTTGCGATCAATTATTGTGTACCGCTAATAAACCGTTCCCACTGTTCAAAAACACTGTTGGGCGACACTGTCGGGAGACAGTGTGGGGAAAACACTGTGGCAAAGGACTGCACACTTTTAAATCCCTCGAATATAAACACTTTCGTTCGAAACATTTTTTTATACATGTAGTTCACAAGAAAAATTGAAGTAGAAGAATTAAATGACTCTGCCTGTATTTGATTTAACAAGAGTGGAATAAGAAGCGAAAGTATTTACAATTCGATCATCTGAAGTTTATTAAATATTCGACAATACATGTAACTCACCCCGAATGGGAAATATTATTCAATAAATAAAAATAACTATGCTTATATTTTATAAAGTTGTTTCAGGATATTTGTAAGCTAGCAGAACAGGGTGTCTAACAGTCGACAATCCGAGTTTAGGAAAAGCGCATATTCAACCCGGCTACCGAGAACAGTTGTCTCAAATCGACTTTGTCACCGGATCGTGGCATCTGCGAGAAGGGTGGATCAGTCCTCGGCTAGAATGGACAATATCTCGAGCAAAGGTTAACGTCCAAGTGACGGAGACTATGTGCAGATGCGAATCTTTCGCGTTGTCCTCGAGGGAAGGGGATGCGCCACCAATGACGTCAGTGGAATGCAGAAACGAGCATAGCAAATTGCAAGTGATATCACGCAATCTGAAATTCGTTCGCTGGCTACGTCGTCATCTCGTTCATGATTGAGCGGCGTTTTTCTTAGCTGTCGTCAATGGGAAATCGGATCCTTTAGAAACTGAGTAAATGTCCCTCTACTCAAATAGTTATTTGAATGTTCATATATATTACACATTTTTAGTGATATTAGTTAGTTATTAACATTAAGTTCTGATAAAAGTTCTCATTAAATTTTAGTTATCAAGTTCTGATAAAAGTTCTCGAAATCCTGGACATTGTAATGAATAAAATAGTTTTCGAAAATAGTAGCTATTTCGTAGAAATTAAGTTGTAACGTTAAGGGTTCACGTAATATAACGCGTTTATTTCTGAAGGGTTTAGTTGAATATATAAAGTGAATTTTTTATTCAGCAAAGATATTTTTAACTCGTTATATGCTATGAAATGTTGCACATTTGTTTCCTATTTTTAATAGTTTAAATGTTTAATCGAACATGTGAGTGATAATTCCTTGAAGCTCCCAAATCCGAAATATTATTCGCTTCAGATAATTATGTCCTGAGATACGTTCTAAATACAAAATCATAAAATTCAAAGTGAAATTAATGATTAAGTTTGAACAATTGCTAAGAATTAGATGCAACCTCTTGCAACCTTCGCATGTAGAATAATTGAAACAAATAGTTACCAACAGTATTTCGACGCATGGGTAAATAGTTAAGTGGAGAACGCGCTTGTCACGCTCGTATCCAATTTCGAAACAAACCACGATTTTTCAGACATTTTCGATGGCTTGGCAAAAAAATTTGTCCAACGAAAGCTGGTCAGCATTCGCTTTTGTACAAATCTAAATATAAAACCTTGCAAAAAAATTTGTCTTCACTTAAAAATGCTAGTCACCTCAGTTTTTCGAATGTTCGCCCTTTCCAGTTGTGTGGTGACTCTAAAGCAACCCTAAAAGTTGTCATATTACGTTTCAAAATAATTTTGATATTATCAAATTTCTTTATATTTAAAAAACTGTTAATAATATAGCTGTAGCATTAGTCACAAAATTCAACTTCATATGTACAAAATGCACGAGATTATACATAAAATGAAAATACTGAAAAAGACTATTTTAGATTTCGAGTTATTCCAAGAAATAAAAACTAAATAGCAAGTCCTTCCTTTCTTTAATAATTCTAATAGATTAAAAAGAATATATTGTCACTTTGAAATTTTAAATGCTGACCACTGAATTTTGTTATAAATGCATAATTGCAATGTAACTGTAACCTAAACCTTGGAACAACGCTAAAATAATTTTGGCCGCAGAAAGCGAATTCCCGTTGTACAACGAATCGCGGCAAGGGGACAGAAAGATCGCAGTAAAAATTGAAGACAACGCGCGAGAAACGTGAAATCGTGTGCTCGGACTATTCGCGGGTAAACAGTTTGAACGGTGACGTTATGTCGGCTTACCAAACCGACTTCCAACTGAATGGGGTTTCCATCCTATCGCCGATTCCGCGGCGGCGAACCGCCGCGTATTTTTATTTTTATTCGCGCTTATTCCCCGCTGCCGCGCCGGTGAAAAACGGAATGCGTCGCTGAAAGGTAAAGAAGTTCGCTGTTGAAAAGCAGAAACACTCGGCCGGAAGAATCGATGGGTTATTTTTCTAGTTTGCAAGCGAGCCGGGGCAGCGTCTCTCTTTCTCTTTGTGTTCTTTGCGCGGTCGAATTATTTTCGTTATCGATCAATCGACGCCGAAAATGTACCGGCCCGGATCGAATAAAAATCATCGACTCAATGTGATTTCTTTCGTTCGTGTAAACTCTCCGTTCGTTACACCGCGTGTTAATAAACGAGATCGAGAACCGCTTCGATTCTGCCTCTTCGATTCTGATCGACGGTCATCTTCGTTTTAATTATTATTCAATCATGCTCCTGCACTAATAATGTGATATTAAACTACCTCATTTTCTTCAGAAGAATCTAAATAATAATTCGGTGCAAGGTAGAACTGTCCGAGTCTCATTGCTAAAACACAGCGCAGCTATGGTACACTATTCACTGGCGGTTTTCTAATAGTTTTTTCAAAATCGAAGATCAAGGAAGGATTTCTTAAAAAATTGTTCCGAAAACTGCAATAATCTCAACAGTAATCGACATATTTTGAAATTATTACTTAAAAGAAAATTACCGATCTTCTCTTAAACACAATCGAATTGAAATGTCTGTTAATAGGTTTCCGTTAAAGAAAGTGTTAAGAGGAAATGTTTGGTTATTGCGTTTCTGGTTTTGTGTTCCAGGAAATTTTGTATTGAAACGATCTTTTAAAAATTCTTTCAAGTGCAACGCCATATCGTCGGCGAACTTAATTCCAGCAGCAGTCTATCAGAACAGACGTTTCCTGAGATTATCGTATGAAATAATAGTGTGTCGATTGCCGGCGGAAAGTGGGCAGCCTTTAGGCACGAGATCTGGTCAATTGTCACGAGAGCTTCTAGGAAATCCGAGAAATCTCGGTTGCTTTCCAGGCGAGGTTCTTTGAATTTCAAGTATGGTCGTCTCCAGCCATTTTCACGAATCCAGTTGGCTTTGCAACTTTGCAAAGCTGGCAAAGATCAATCGTTACTCCGGACGAATTTCATTCATAATCAGATTGCGGATTTCATGGCAAAATTGAGTAGATGCGATTTAAAACAGTAAAAAAGTCCAAAGAATTTGAAAATGTTAACGCGTTATTTTCAATTTATTAAAATGATTACAGAAAAAACGAATTTGCTATGAATCTAAATTTTTGCATAATCTTTGATTTGTACACAATTCTTAAGTTTATTACAGTTTTTAATTTTTAAGTTTATTACAATCTTCAACATGTATTTGAATTAATATAATTAAACTTTATCGTTAATAAACTTCTATGCCAGAAAGAATATTTACATTTATTTTTGCATTTGCAAGAAACAGAAATTAGGTAAGAAGTTCAGTCTTCCTTTTAATAACTTTAATAGACAGAAAATAGTAAACCGGCATTTAGAAATTCTTTTAATTTCTCTACTACTTTAAATACCAATTCAACCCAATTTTACCATAAATGCATAATAACATTTGTGTTTTAAAAGATTGCGTTCGAAGGCTTCGTAACGTGTTCGATACGACATTATAGCAATGTTGCGTGGCAAACAAGGAAATAAAAGGATAGTGCAACATTGCAAGGTTAATTGCAAAGAACAAACAAGGAAGAAGAAGGGACGCCGCAGCGATCAAATTCCTCGTGATCAAAACACGAAACGTTTCATTGCCCCAGTGCCATATCGTTATCTTATCGCGGCGTAGGAAGGATGTTGCAAAATACGCGAATACGTTGCACGATCCATTTTCACGCATTACAAATGTTCGGCATGCAATCCATCCTTCGTTGTCCTGTACATACTAATTATTTCACTTTATACTCCGAAAAATTTTGGGTATTGAACAGAACAGGATTTCAATAGAAAATGTATATCTTTTCTACCTCTCTTGTTGCCTTCACTGTTCTGTATCCATTCATACATTTTTGGTATAAATATATATAATCCACAGTCTAATCAGGCGAACGATGCATACGTAACAAATGATTGTGTTTACACTATCACACTTTATCTTGTAGATATATGAAACAAAATTTGCGATAATAACAAACAATGTTAAAATGTGCATCACTGCATTTCCTCACTTATTACAATCTACAAAATGGTGCATACGAAACTAATGGTTTCCGCTTCTATTTGTGTTTCTCCTTGCACGAGTAACTTAAAAGGCTATGTAATAAACGTTAAAATAACAATAAACAATGTTAAAAAATCTGTTTTCTTAGAAAATGGTGCATACGAAACTATACAAAGAAACGCAAAAAGAATTTGTATGAATTAAGAAACAACGTCAACGGGCATTAATTAATACACGTGTACAAATAACAATAAACAATATTAAAAATCCGTTCTCCAGTAAAGACTGTCCGAATAATAACGAAGGACGCATCAAATTTCCCCAGCATCAAGATATCGGTCCAGAAACCGCTCGAACAGATTGTTCGTCGACAAACCGCCCTAAAAACGATAAAAGCCATTCGTACGGTGTTCGCATGTGGTTTTCGCGGCGCGGAAGATGGCGGCCGCGCCCTATCAAGCTCAATGACCTCCTCGACAAATCGTTTACTTCTCTCTCGCGGTACCGGCACGGTGCGGCGTCAGCCGGATCGCTGGCTGCGTCGGCGTCGTATCTTCGGCGCCGTGCGAACGCGCCTTTATGCGTTGATCCACGTTCTACGCGTGACGTAAGCTCGCTGATCTCTAGTTTTTTTCCCACCTCCGGTCGTTGTAGGTATACGGACCGACCGGACTGGCAATGGGATCAAGTTCACCATGTTACGCACTCACGACCATCAATCCATTCACTATACTTTCGGCCGAAATCGAACCGCGATCATCGCGAAATCTGCCACGACAAACGGTTCCTTGTACGCTGGAACGCGATCTGTTTGCACTCTTCTGTTACATCTTGCTTCTGGATCTTAGTTCATTATGTTTTGCGTACTCGCGATCAGGCCTCGGTAAAGGTATTTCAACGAAGAAATAGAAATAATTGCGAATACTGTTCCTCTCAACTGTGTTACGTATGCTTCATTTGAAACAGTAATTTATTTCCGTACTAATTGAAATACCAGTTGAAAGACTTCATTGATTTTACAAATACGTCCATTCGAACCAAAACCAAATACGAACCATCGATCCCATACAACATCGAACGACGATGAACGAAAAATCGGCAATGTTGAACGATCGTTGCATATTAAGATTAAATCTTGCTTATACAGTTCGAATTTTTGTTTTAACTCTTAGCTCACTATGCTACGTATTCGTAATCATAATCGCGAGTACATTGACTATAGTTTCAGTAGAATCGAACGAACGAAGCAAATCTGCTGCATCGACTTGCTTCATATTGATGCATGGTGCAGTCTAATTAGACTTTCACGTTATATATTGTATTATTGAGTAAATGTTTTACTATTAATCACTTTTAGTTCATCATGTTATTACTCGGCATAATGAATTTATTCTCTATAGTTTCAACGATTCATTCAGGACAGTCAATTCATTCAAAATCAAACGACAATAAAAGATCTGCATCGTCGAGCGATTGTCGTATGCTGACGCGTTCTCCTTGCACGATTACGTTGCATCTTAGTTGTCCGAACCTAAACCATCAATACCTCATAGTAAACATCTAAACTGCCCTTTGATAAAGCTGTCCGTAGTCAACGTGGACTGCGACCTCAGCGTTTCACCACTAACTCGAGCCTATCTCGTTTGAATTTAGTCGAAAATTGAATGAAGCACTCCGAATCGTTTCCAATAATGATCTTCGTGTTAAGATATAATAAGATGGCGAATTTGACGAATTTATGGGAAAAATGAGTAGATCGAATATAAAACAGTGAAAAATCATTCGAAGAATTTCAA